GAAGAGCCGAAATTCTCATTAAATCAAAAGGTCCAGTATTCATTACCTCATGCATCTGATGCTAAACACTAAATATGGGGATCATCAAAGGAGATTTAATGGGTTAAATTGAGAATATAATCTAATTAAAATATTAGACATGGCTAAATAGTTCTTTGATATTCATCTAAAGCTTTCATTAAAAATAGGTGCTTGAGGTTTGTGACATAGGAGATTACCAATTTTAAGTAGAGACAACAAATTTAGGGACCTCATGTGCACTACTTCAAAGTGTCACCATTGTGTGGAAGCAGGGGGAATGGGAAAAGACTCCAGTGCCAGGTGACAGGGTGGGGATATGAAGCAAGGCCAGTTGGGCTTCAGTATACTAATTTTGAAAGATGTCTGCATGTCAAAAAATAAAGTATAAGATTAAATTGAGAGATGAGTTTGTCACTGAGGAAAGAGTATGTGTGGGGTCCAAATTATTTAGCCCAGAGATCATTGTTGATTTCATTTGATGTCCTCTACATTCTTCTGTGTAGTCAGTTTCCCAAAGGATGATTGATCATGTTTTCTGGGTTTTAAATTTTGGACAGTTATTTTCCCTATTGCCACATTCACACCACAGTTATACTTAATGTTAAACATCTATTGCAAAACTTGGGGACCTCAGTGACAGAGGTTATCCCAAGAAATCAGGCCCAATATTAGGGTCATTCTCCCTGAGATGCCAGTTCAGTAAAAGAGTATTTATAAAATCTTATCAGAAATATGCAAGGATTCACTAAATACATTTGCCTGGAATGCTCACATCATCATAATCCTCTCAACCTGTTAGAGCTATTTAATAGCGGAAGACCATTTATTCAGCTTATTGAAAATTAATTACTTACATTACATAGGTTTGCAAGGGGAAAATGGAAAAGGAATGGAGAGGCAGCTAGGGAGATAAACCCTGTCCACCAAATTCTTTTTTTCCTCTCTTCATAGTTTCCAAAGAGCCCCTCTATTGCAGGGTAGAGAGAGCTGGGAAAAAAAAAAATCTGTTCTTTTAGCATCTTGCTTCCTTTTGTAAGGCATTGTTTTCATAACATTTTGGGAAGGTCCAGCTTCCCAGTTATTTTACTGAGCCAAAATTAAGTAACCAAACATGAAAAATGTGAATGCTTCAGACTGGCGAGTAATTTAGAGAATTAAAATTCCATCAAAAATCTTTTGCTAAAAAAAAATTAAAAAATAAAAAAGCTTTCCATTGATACATATCTATTTAATTAGGAAATTGAAACAGTTTGTATTTTCTCTATTCCTTTATGAGAAAAGAGGTGTGACTTTGCTTAATGAAGCTGGCAGGTGAGTAGAAACAAATACTGTACTTAGTCTAGAAGCAGGAGGGTGAGGGGGCAATTCTGAATATCAGATTTTCAGCTACTCTGAGACCCTACCTACTTCAGTATATTTAAAATGTGGAATATCTAAATATATTTATTAGAATGCACATTTCACCTTTATAGTGTGGAAATATTATTTTGTCTGATAATATAAACAATTTTGTATAATCATTGATATAGGTAGAGTGAGCACTATGTATAATCAAAATCCACAGTGATTCAAATTTTTCATTTTGTGCTACTCTTTTCAATTCGTTTCTTACTGGAGAAACAATGGAAGAGGCAAATGGTGTGTTGGTGTATCTTTTTGTCTCTCTGTTTTCACCTATTGACAACAGAAATTATGAAAATATAGTTAACATTAAGGAGCAGAAGCCCTGCAGTTATTCTGTGAGTACTTGAGAGTTGGATGAAATATGTATTTTTCAAGTCTTACTCTATTAGGTAAAAAGAATCTTTTAAAAAAGGCGTATTTAGGAGAGTGACCCTGATTTTTCCTTAAGAACTTTCCAAATGCTACTTCTAATAATATGTTTTGAAGCACATCTTGGAAGAGAATTAGCTAAACTTGTCCGGATATCTGTAGACTATCACCCAAATTCAATTCATTTTCTGCTATTTTTCAATAGGTAATTAGAAAAGAATCCCCCCTGAGTTGATCTAGTCTGCTATTGTAGGCCATTTGCTATCAACTCAAAGTTCTCAATTAGCTCCAGTGTTGTTATAATTACTGAACGTGTTTTCAAACAACTCCCAGTTAATAACTGTTGGGATGAAGAGTCATTTTCTCACTATAGACTAGACTGTGCACGCTCCTGCTTGCTGTGATGTTTTGACAATGATTCATTAACCAATAATAAGGCCCCAATTGGAACCATTAGGCATCAGTGCCTTTGCTAGGCTTACCTTTTATTTTGTTCCTCAATATTGTCTTTTCTTAACTTGTTTTCTGGATAACTCCCAAGAGACTCCTTATGATACAAAACAATATCAAGAAGACAGCTGTCATTAAATTCAGCTACTTGTAAAAAAAGCTCTCTTTAAGAGGATGCTCTTGTTGGAAACTCAAGATGGAAAAACACCATAAAAAAAGGAGACTGTAATAAGAGAGAATACATGGCTTACAGGGCCTTTATTTCTACCAGCTCATAGAGATTAGGCATAATTATACCATGTCTTTCAATGGCATATATAACATCTGGTCAAATACAGGCCCTCCCTCATTATGTCACTCAAGTTTGAAGTTCCTTGCTTTCTAATAGGCATATTGTCTTATTTTCTTGAGTATCTGAAACAGATAGGCTGTAAAATTGATCATGGATCCACTTGTGTTTATAATAGATGGATATTGTTGTCATCAGTACGATTTTAAAAAGGAGCAAAAAAGTATTCGTCATTCACTGTTTGTGGAAAATCTCTATCCTAGCCTTAGGATCTTGGTAGCTTAGCAACATTCTGCTGGGTCTTACAATTGTGAGATGACTTGGGGCCAAACAAAGGGCCATTTTGATGGCTCTTTCATTTCAACCTGAAATGTACAGCAAATATGTTTTATTTCTTTATCCAAAGTCATTTTAAATTCCACTTGGCACTGTATAAAGAATTCTGATTTTCTAGAGTCTTATGTACTGGATGGTAAAGACTGACCTTGGGGGCAAGGATCCTGTGAAATGTTTTGACATCAACTAAATCACTTCACCTGCTCCAGCTAAGTGTTGGGTTTTGACAGTATGTGTGAAAGTGTTGGAAGGATTTAACCATAAGTCTATTAACAGAAATACGGTGATGGGAAGTTTTTGAAAGAAAATGAAACAGTGTCTCTCTTACTGGTCAACATCCAAGTGTGAATTGCTCTTTATGTCTGTTATAACTTTATCAATGTGGTAAGGAAATTGCCAGACTGTACATATTAAAAAATTATTGGGCTTTGGGGTTGTGGCTCCATAGTAGAGCACTTGCCTAGTACTTGTGAGGCAATCCTCAGCACCACATAAAAAAAAATAAATAGAAAAAGGGTATTATGTCCATCTACAACTAAAAAAAATTTATAAAAATTATCAGGTACACAGTAATGAATAGTTCAACAACTGAACTCAATGGAAATTTAGACCCCAAACTGAAATTCATACCAACTCCATGCTCCTTGACCACACAGAGAAACAAGAACATCTTTCCACAGATGAACAGTTAAACAGCACCATTTGTGGTGCTGTAAGACAGGGCATTGAGACCTGGATACTCTCTTAATACCTTCATTATGACTGATGGATTTCAGAGGTGCTGAACCTTTTCTGATCTCCACATTTCCTCTTCTGAAAAAGTGGCAGTTGAACAAGACAGACTCTTTCCAGGATCCAGGTTCTTTCAAGTTATTTGAATAGATAATGAAATATTTAAAAATCTTACCCTGTCCCTTCAATTATGAAAATAGGAAACTGTCTCTATATGCATCCTTTTATCTTCCAAAGTAAGTTTAAATTTAAAGCCATTTAGGAAAAAAATAATGTTTCTAGTCTTCACCATGTACCTTGAAGGGGCCTCTTTACAAATAAATCTTAGCAGAAGTTTGGGCTATGATTTTCCTGAACTAATTCCTCATATATGTTGATATTTTCCAAATACCACTGAAAGATGACTCATGAATTTTCTCTTTATATACTTGTTATCATTACAGACTCTCAACTCTAACTGCTTCCAGTCTGAAGAAAAAGTTACATATAGACACATCATGATATATATATATATATAAAATTCACTTCCTTGTTGTATAATATGTATACAACAAGGAAGTGAATTTCCAAAGCCAGTTCTTATGTAAAGATGGTGACCTAAATTTGTGTTAAAATTATCCATTTCTGAATATGCAATGCCCATCTAATATGAAAAAGAAGGTAAAAAATTAAAACTGCTAGTAACTAAGACTGGGAATTTTTATAATGCTTCCAAAGATAAAATAAGTTAAAATATTTATTCATATTTATATTCAGTAGTAAACTATGGAATGCTTTTGTCTTATCTAATATTATTAACTATGTGAAAATATACATTTGATAACATTTTAAGATATTTTTGATGGCAAGATGCCCATCAAATTTATGTACTCGGAGCAAGTGGCTTTGACAAAGTGTGTCTGAATTGGCATTTCTGGATTCAGTGGAGGATTTGTAACTAATATCTTGATGCTCTGTTAGAATGACATTGAATTTGTTCTATTTTAGTAGGCACATCCAGATGTACCTTCATTTTATTTTTTTCAATTTTATATGCTCTCCTTTGCTAAACTTGGAGATTTGAGTAATATTTTTGAAATGTTACCTCAAAATTTACTAGTGATTGGTCCAATTGAGTTCATTTTAGGAGAAATTGAAGGGTTTATGCTTTTCCTATCAGGTAGGTAAGAGATACACAAGTGGATGTATTTATTTCTGGGTAACAACAAGGTTTTCATTATTCTAAGTAAGAGCAGGTGTAGTTTACAAAATCAAAAGATCCAATGTAAACCAAAAGCTTTATTTTCTATTTATCAGTCCAAATTCTAATTGATTTGAAAATAAATAATTAAAACATGGCACCATAATCTGACTGGGGCCCTACTAAATCTGTATAAAGCAGATATGGACTGCAGGTACGTGTTAGGTTACTGTGCTCAATTTGTGTTACAATTAAGTTAGAGTTTCTCTCCTTCACATCTTTTCTCCGATTGTTTTTGGCTTCTACCAAATGTTGTCTATACAATGTGAAGGACTTTGAAAGCAGCCACAGCCTGTTTTTCCCTTTCGTGTCTACTCTGCAGTATTTCCAGCAGTGAAATTTCAGGTAAACTTTCTTTTCTTCGCTCATATGTTGGATTTTTGCTTTCCTTTGATGATTGATCAGTCAGATTTGATGATTTGGGTTTGGGGATGGTCTTAGCATATTCCAAAGCCTAAAAGCATAAAGATAAAATTTTACTTAAAATGAGAAATAAATAAGTCCTAGATTTCTTAAATTGAAGGCAGTTTTATGAAATGTTTATTTATAACATAAGTAGAGATGATTGCCACAATATGGGAGGAAATGGAAAACACAAACAAGGCAAGTTTAAACACCCAGTTTAAACAAAATAAATTAGCCACAAAACATTATGGTGTGGGCATAAACCGAGGAGTGGGATAGCTGGGTCAAGTGGTGGTTCTATTCAAGTTTTCCAAGGAATCTCCATACTGCTTTCCAGGTTGGTTGCACTAGTTTTCAGCCCCACCAGCAATGTATGAGTGTGCCTTTTTCCCCACATCCTCACCAACACTTATTATTGTTTGTAATAGCTGCCATTCTGACTGGAGTGACATGAAATCTTAAGAGTAGTTTTGATTTGCATTTCTCTAATTGCTAGAGATGTTGAACATTTTTTCATATATTTGTTGATCAGGTGTATCTCTTCTTTTATGAAGTGTCTGTTCATTTCCTTAGCCCATTTATTGATTGGATTTTTTCTGGTGTTAAAGATTTTTGAGTTCTTTATATATCCTAGAGATTAGTGTTCTATCTGACTTGCATGTGGCAAAAAAAATCAATTTTTTGCCACATGCAAGTCAGATAGAACACTAATCTCTAGGATATTGATTCCCCAAATGTAGGCTCTCTATTCACCTCACTGATTGTTTCTTTTGCTGAGAAGAAGCTTTTGTAGTTTGAATCCATCCCATTTATTGATTCTTGATTTTATTTCTTAAGCTATGAGTTAAGGAAGTCAGGGCCTAATCTGACACGATAGAGATTTGGGCCTACTTTTTCTTCTATTAGGTGCAGGGTCTCTATTCTAATTCCTAGGTCCTTGATCCATTTTACACTTTGAGTTTTGTGCATGGTGAGTGTTGAGTGTCACAGACAAGTCAAGATGGTGCCTGGCACTTTGCCAGAGGGAGTGGTTTGTGAAGTAATGCCAGCGAGCCCTTGAGATGTGGAGATTCCTTAATGACTGACTGCTGTATCTAGTTTATGTTAATTAAGTTAAGTTACGTGTAATCATTAAGATGATGAGGATTCCTTATTGGTTGACTGCTGTATCTAGTTTATGTTAATTAAGTTAAGCTGTGTGTAATTAGTTGGGTATATATACTTCTCTGTCCCGTAATAAAGCGGCTCCCGCTGTATCAACCTTCACAAGTTGCTTGTCACCCCCCCCCCCCTCGTTATTTTGCCCAGCCAGACGCGGCAGGTGAGAGACAGGGGTTTAATTTCATTTTGTTGCATATGGATTTCCAGTTCTCCCATTTGTTGAAGACGCTATCTTTTTTCCAATATATATTTTTGGTGCCTTTGTCTAGTATGAGATAAATGTATTTATGTGGGTTTGTTTCTGTGTCCTGTATTCTGTACCATTGGTCTACAAGTCTCTTTTGGTGCCGATACCATGCTGTTTTTGTTACTATTGCTCTGTAGTATAGTTTAAGATCTGGTGTAGTGATGCCACCTGCTTCACTCTTCTTGCTAAGGATCGCTTTGGCTATTCTGGATCTCTTATTTTTCCAGATGCATTTCATGATTGCTTTCTCTAGTACTGTATGAAGTCGTGCATGGTATGACTCTACTTTGTGTACAACCAGAAACATGAAAAATTGTACTCTGTTGTGTACTATGAATTGAAATGCATTCTGCTGTCATATATAACAAATTAGAATCAATGAATCAATCAATCAATAAAATATTATAGTGTGGGGGAAAAAGTTGGATAATGATGCATACAGCTATTGTGTCTTCTGGAAGTTTTCTTCACAAAACTGAGTGTCAAGTGTTTGAAAATAGGTCTCTCATGTGTTGGATCTACTTAGTCTCTGGCAATCTTATTAAAATCAGCTTCTGGTAGGGATATATTATCAAAATTTTGTACCTAAGGAGGACTAGTTATAGCTTGAGACTAAAGATATCACTATAGCTGATGTAAAACTGAGCCTCCTTTATTAGACCCATTATTCTTATTCCTAGGTTCTTAGAACTCTGAAAAGCATTAGAGAATGATTTTTTTTTTCTTTACTATATCTATAGAAATCTAGATGCTGGAAAAAAATGCAGTCTTTTTTTTCAGTGCTGTCAGTTCTGTCCAGTGTTATGATAAAAATGAGACTACTAAATATGATTTCTAAATCTGACTTTGTATCACTTTTGTATTTTAATTTTTGTATTTTAATTAGAGTTCATGCTGAAATGTGAAAGAATAGGTCCTATGAGGGGGAAAACATTCTAAAACACAGAAAAAAGTTCATACTTCTCATGTATGTGGGTGAAATATACAGGAATTTCTAATTATAGATTTGTTGCCTTGAAGCTCTTCATGAAAATATGACAGATTGGAGAAAAAAGAAGTGGCACCATGGAAACTCAGTCGAGAGGACTGAGGTCTTCAAGGTCTGAGGAAGAAGGCAAAAATAGAAAATACCCTGGTCTGTGAAAGAGAACAGGAAGTCCACATTCCTGGAGGCTGCACAAGATCACTTGGCTCTCTTGCAAAGGGTGCCTGTCCTTCCTCGGAAGGGGCCCATCAACTGAGGTACAGACCTGCCCTGGGGAGCTCTGTGACTCCACAGCACAATTTATTCAAACCACGACTCCTGGTTGGATGACATCTGAGAGGGAGAACATTCTGTATTTCTTGAAATCATTTTTTCTCCCTAGAGGAACCTGTATATTACAATCCATATAGAAGAGTGTAGGAAAATGAACGTGAGAAAAACAATGAAGGATTTTTCTTTGACACATGAGAATTAAGAGACACTAATTCCTTTGGAGCTTATTTCAATAATAGAGAATGAAACTGACAATTAGGATTCCAAGTTTCTTCTAAGAAATCACCTTATTAATTTTTATGTGTGACAAACTTAAAATACTATACTTGGAAGGAAAGATGTGGAGACAATGAACTTTAGGAAAATAAAAAGGTTAACCTTACAGCACTGAGTGTGAGCGCATACACATTTGTGTGTGTGTGTGTGTGTGCGCGTGCGCGTGTGTGTAGACATGCATGGACTGTATTGCTATCACATCAATATCTACAGATGATGAGCAGCTGCAGGAATGGCAGCTGCTAAAATGCATCTTGTGTGCCAAGTTACATGGGCTGGGGTTGTGGCTCAGTGGTAGAGCACTTGACTTGCACATGCAAGGCCCTGGGTTCGATTAAATAAAATGAAGGTATTGTGTCCAACTATAACTGAAAAATAAATATTTTTTAAAAAAAGTAACAAAAGCTTTCTTTTAATTTGGATCGAAAAAAATGTCTTGATGAGAATTTCTTACCTTCTGCCGAGGAATGGCTGATTTATTTTCAGTTTTTGCTGTTTGTGGTTTGGACAGAACAGACAGCGTCTTCATGTTGTATTCCTGTACTTGTTTTGCATATTCTTTTTGCTGTATTAATTTTTGCATCTGTTCAGAGAGACAGGGTTGTGATGAATCACAGATCCTGATGACCCTCTATGCTCTCTATTTAGAGTGACACTAGTTTAAGTGAGCTGGGCATATTCAATTGGCAGCACAGGAGACATGGGATTGCCACATGCAAGGTGATGGCAGTGACCTGGTTAAGCTAATGTTTCTCCTAGAGAGCCTCTGTGATGAGGAACATCACTGCAATAGCTCACTCAGTGTTCCCTTAACAGAGGCTAAATCACATTCAGTCCCTTCTTTGTTGCATTTACCCAATTTATTTTCATTTTTGCTTCCAACTTTGAACTATACTCTCTTTTTATGCCTGAGTGCAACTGCAGTTAAAGCACATTAAATGAAGATCTCCTTTCACTAGAGGAAAGAGAATAAAATGGATGCACTTCTCAGGGGCCAGGGAAGTTGTACCTAAGTGTCTTCTCTGTAGCCACTTTTCAAAATTATCCAGATAATTCTTTCTGGAAAGACCAACAACCATATAACACAAACATTCCCTTTCCCATACATGCATGTGTCCTGCTTCTCTGTGCAGACCTTCCAAACAAACTGAAGGGCAGGGGTGCATAAAACAATGCTGGGTGAGTGTTTTCATATGATAGTTAAAAAGTGTGTCTGGGCTTCTCTTTCATTACCCGTGCTGTTTCTGAAGGGTCTGTATTCAGTGTCAGGCATTGCATAGGGGCTCGATTCTGGGGATCATCTCAATGCAGTTTGGTGAAAAGACAGATGGGTGGAGTCAGGCCTGAAAAAAACTTACGTACAACTCACTCACTTTTTCTCTGACAGATTCCAAGTCAGGTCCTAGGCCTCCAAGCTTCACATCTCTTTTTTGATAACCTTTCAGCTTGGAACTCTAAAAACAACATAGAAACAGTTTCTTTAAGAACTTGTGCTCTTCTCAGCAATAATAGGCACATAAGGGAAGAAGGAAAGTAAAGAATAGACGCCTGTGTGGATGGGGACATTTCTTGGTAACTTTTTCCATTTTAATGGTAGTAAGTTGGTAATAGTCTCTTAGGGAATTTGTAGCTGGTTAGCTAACATGTTATGACTTATCCACTTTTACAATAAAGAAAAATAAAGTTATGAAAATTATAAATAAAAAATTTAAAGCTTGTTGTTATTATTTTGATACTGGGGACAGACCCAGGAGCACTTAACCACTGGCATTTTACTATACCCCTTTTTGTTTTTGATTTTGAAATAGGGTCTTACAAAGTTGCTGAGGCTGGCCTCAAGCCTGCAGTCCTCCTGTCTCAGCCTCATGAGTTGCTGCGATAACAGGTGTGTGCCACTGTGTCTGGTTGTTGTTTGTTATTAATGTTTTTAAGAAAATATATACTTTACCACTTTGCCACTGCTGCTGTTCCTATGATGTCAAGTCTTGGGCAGTTTGCTAAGCCAAATGACTTCCCTGGACGAGGCAATTTAAGCACATCAGATGAGCACATTGCTTCAAAAAGAGGGAACCCGTTCAATGAATTTACAGTACTGCATGTTATGGATAAGATAGAAGAGAAGCAAAGAAAGTAGAAACTTTAAAATTTTACTATTGATTGTTGGGGAAAAAAAGATAGTTTTAAGAAAAAAACCAACTATAATCAATTCATAATACTCAAAAGAAAGTTAGCATTTAAGAGTCTTGGCGAGGACCACTTAGAAATTCATTCTATTCAATCAGTATGATTTTTGATATTTTGAAGGACACACAGAATTTTACATTGTAACTCCTATTAGTATTGCACACCCGAGAGGACTGAGCAACAGAGTCAGGCAATTATTAGATGCTGAGCACAATAGTAGGCAGGAAAAGCCCCAGTGTTCTCTGGACCACAGGGCAGATGAAGATATTCTCCCAAACTGCAGCTTTCAACACTAAAACTGAAGTTTAGATTTGCTACTTCCCCTTGTGGGGAAACCAAATCCTTATATTTTTCAGTTCATTAATTAATTTGGTTTCCTTTCTGGGAGGGGCAGGAAAAACAATACCAAAGAGATGGTTTGTATGACAGGGATGATTTTAGGTTCATATAAATTTGTGCTTGGAATGGAGAAAAAAATAACCATCTCAAAGAGGACATGTTCTGTGCTGACTGTGCATGATGTCAGTATCAGGCACAGCATCTTCATAAAACGTGGATGTTCCTACTGATTATGACATGAAGTCCTACGATAGACAATTTATCTAGTGAGCCCTTTTCTAAAATAGAATTTGGAAAAGATAATTAAAATGCCAGAAAAATATTTCACCATATGAGATATAATTTCTGCATAAAACTCAACAATCTTAAGAAGAAACTGATGTAAACTTGTGGTACCAACCATTATAAAAAGGTTTCCTACTCACAGTGATCTAGTGTTCACCCCAGACAGCATTTCGATTAGCTTCTTCATCACCACCTCCCATTTTAGAGACTCAAAAGCCAAATATGGTTGTGCCTCATAATCCAAGGGGGGACAGTTCTAGAACATTTCACAGATAACAAAATCCAAGGATATTCAAGTATCTTATATGAGGTGGTAGAGTGTTTGGATATAACCTATACATCTCCTCTTGTGTACTTTCATTTCTAAGTTTGCTTATAATACCTAACACAATGTAAATGCTAGGTATAGACCTGTTATATTATATGTATGGTTTAGGGAATGACAAGAAAACAAAGTCTGTACATGTGCAGTACAGATGCAATTTTTAAAAAGATATTTTCAACCAGTGTTGAAAGGACATTTCAAAATCATAAATCTTCTTTAAGAGAAGCCACTCCCAAGCAAAACCACTATGGCTGCTTCCTGTCCATTTTATCCTTCTGTACTTTTATGAAATTGTCCACACTTGCTGGGTGTGGTGGTGTTCAGTAATCCCAGTGACTCAGGAGGCTGAGGCAGGAGGATTGCAAGTTCAGGACCAGCCTCCACAACATAGGGAGACCCTGTCTGGAAAAAAAAAATATTTAAAAAAGGGCTGGGGATGTATCTCAATGGTAAAGTGCTTCTAGGCTCAATCTCTAGTACCAAAATAAAATAAAATAAAATTGTTAGTTTTTCTTTAAGCATTTCAGCATTACACTGTATTTTCCACTAAATGGTCTTCAAAAATGTGACTTTTAGGCATAATATTCTTCTGTCTAGTTATAGTTAATCGTTTAACTATTTCTCTAGACACTGAACATTTATAATGCCATGAGGTTTGTGGGATACTTTTTTTCTTTGAGTAAATTAATAGAATTGTAATTATTAAGATAAAATGAACATGTTTAAGGCCATAGGTAGCATTTCCATTAGCAATGGAGTAGTAAGATAGCTGTTTTTGTCAAAACCTTGATTATAATGGGTATTATTACACTTAAGAACCTTTAGTAATTTTTAATAGGTGAGTGAACTCAGAAAATTAATATACTTGCATCTGTGAATTTGTTCTTCTCACATATGCCCTCTGCATCATTGTTTTGTAATCACTAAATCACTATTTGCCAGAGTCAACCAATAATGAAAAGGAAGAAGAAAAAATCCCACTCATCTCCAAGTCATAAATCCAATTTGTCCAAAGATGATGAGAAAGAAATGATCAGTGCCCAGAAATCTCATCCTTAGTCTGAAGCAGCTTAACTTTTAATCATTCCACTGACTCACAAAAGACACATTGTGAAGCATGAATAATTGCTCACTGACCTCCAGCCACAGTTCTAAACATCACCTCAAATAACATCTTAGTTAGCAGAGAAAACTAGAGCCTAGGGCCTAGCACTGCACATACATATCACATGGAGGGAGAGCATGTGGCCCAAACAGGTCATTCCCCAGTGCCGATCCCTTTACAGGACGAAGTGCCCTTAGCAAAGGAACAATTCTCAAGGGACCACGGTGGCTCCTCCTAGCGAAGCTTGTTCTGGGTGACTGGCAATGAAAATCCTGGATTTGCTTCAGTTTGGCGCAAGTAATCTTGAACTGGTTCTCAGCACTGTGATTCTGTTTGATCTCTCTTCATCTAAGTCTTTTTTAACAGCTTTATTGAGAAATAATTCACATACCACAAAATTCACCCATTTGAAGTTGTACAATTCAATGGTTTTTAGTTTGTTCACCAAGAGGTGTGAAACATCACCACAATCCAATTTTAGAACAGTTTCATCACCTTAAAGAGAAACTATTGTACCCAACAGCACTCACTCCCTATCCCCTCCCCCTCTACTCCTAGGCAACCACTAATCTACTTTCTGTCTCTTCAAAAGTCTGTTATAGAAAATAATCCCCAGAATTCACTTTGATTTACCTCTCCTTGGCTTTTACAAGACTAAAAGGTCATAGTAGCACAATGCCAAAATAATCAACATCATCATCATCATCATCATCATCATCCAGCACTGATAACCCCATTAAGTCTCTGAACATAGGGGGACAAATTAGAAAATACAGGCATGCTCTCAACAAACCCTTGACTGCAGCTAGTCTTTGCATAAGACACACAGCTGACTTGGGCCCACCCCTGCCCTATCCCTCCAACTGTGTGGCTTCAGCAGACAGTGGCAAAGGGCTTTTCTGATGGAAGGTTTCTACCAGTAATTAATTGCAATTGTTCTCAAGCCATACCAGAACAGTGTTTTTTTGTTTTTTTAAAAAAACCTGAAAACTCAGAATACACTGAGCCTGAATTGAGAATGACATTGACTGTTCCATGAGGACTTGTTTTAACTCTGAAATATACCTGCTGTGAGGGACACTGCAGGGTTATTCTCCAGAAAATTCCTTGGATGTGTAAGTGTGAGAAAGTTACTGAAAAACAGGACAAAAGACAATGCCTCAAATACTCGGTAACAGCAAGAGAAGGAAATTTGCTCTGTGGTTGCTAAACTTAATCCAAATAAACCTCTTCTTTGAAGCAGTTAAGCAGCAATGCCCAGATTGTCTGTGACAACAAACTCATGAGTTAATTACTGCAGCTCAACAGTCAGCTGCCGGAGACCGCTCTAAGCAGTTATTTTGTGGTGGGCTGTAACACCGCACGTATATTTTTATACTGTTTGTCATCCTTTGCACAATGGTAATCTCTTAGTGGCTGAGGTCTGTGTTGAATGGTAGGGACAATGGCTGGTATGCACGAGTCAGCCACAACTGATCTGCCAGAAGAAGGAGGGGGCTTGGGCCTATTATCTTTACAAATCCTCAAATTTTTAATGTGATTCAGGGTGATTCCCTTGGAAACCACGAGATTTGATGTGACTAATAAATGGGCATGACCTGGATAATGATTCCTCCTGTCTGGTGCCCTGGCTACCTGCTGTCCTAAACAAATAGCTCAGTTCTAAGTCATTTTAGTTTCTGGAATAGCTTAAAGCACAAAGAGAGCTTCTGTGTATTTGTCAGATGCAGGCTGAAGGTATTGACTGAGAAAAATGGATACATAGGGATTGTAAAATTCTGGACAGAAAGCAGGAAGGGAGGGATTTTCCCAGTTGGAAAGTGTGTTTGGGAAGCAATAACTGGAAATCCTCCTTCCTCTTTCCTACCTTACCATGCTCTTAGATTTCTGATGATGCACACTGTCACCAAGGTACTTCTTCTACCTTTTCTCAGTAAAACATAAATTCAAATTAGAGAAGGAGGAAGAAAAAAGAAACTAACATTTGGCTGATGTCTATTCTTTGCTAGGAAATAAATTTTAATATACTATTTTACTTAACCACTCCAAATCTACTAAAAGAAAAAGTAATTCTGATTATGTATATGAGGAATTGGGGGCTCAAGTAAATGAGTCACTTGCCTGAATCCCAGGGTATTAGGTAATAGGGCTGAGACAGAATTTGGCAATGACTAAGTCTATGACTGCCACTAAGTTCTCTCACTGAGAACTGAGTTTAAAAATGCATCTTCAACAATAGCCCAAAGCTGGACTTTGAACGGACAGGGAAAGCAGTCTGCTGAGGTAGAGTGTTTGAGCTACACTTTAGGCCCTGGTAATCTTTGGCTCTGGAGGAAACAGGCTACCTTCGTCTTCACTGTGTGTTGGTTCCAACCCTCTAAATGCTTTTCCCCATAGTAATAATAATATGATGATGTCCAGCTTCCTAGTCTGGTCTAAAAAACCATAGGAATAATTGAACACAGTACTAATTGTACCTTTGAACCTAACTACTGAGCAATGACATTTCTGTGGGAAAAGAGTGACTGCAGTGCCAGAAACACACGTCTCCTTATTTACAGTGTAACTGTGGATTCTCCTAACTTCAAACTAGCTTCAAACTGGGGATTCTACAGCTCCGTGCCTGGGCAGGGACTGTGGACCCCAGAAGAGCAGAGGATATGGGGGGATGGAGTTAAGACAGGGTGTTCGAAGAGCCTCTGAGTGTGGGTGCGTGAAGGAGCTGGGCTGAGCACCCTAGCGCTGTGAGTGAGCTGAAGACCTGGATGGAGAACAGAGAGGCTGCAAGGCAGGAGCTGCAGGCATGAGCTGGGTCATCCCTCAGTACCAAGCCATCCTCCTCTTCTTCTCTAATAATATGACTGCTGTTCACTTTCAACCAGCGTCCCCTTTTTCTCTTTGAGACCACTCCTTTTCTTTTTCTCGAAGAAGTCCACATCATAACTCTGTTGACTTCAAAGTCCTGTAACTTCTCTGTACATCTTACAGCTGCCCTATGCACCATAACCTGAGAGATTTTTTGTAAAATACAAATCTGACCATGCTTAAAGTTCCTCAGTGGTCCCACTCTGGCCTACAGAATAAGGCCCTTCTTTGAATGAACAACAGAATCCTCTTAAGACTTGCCCCTAAGTCTCTGCCTGCATCTCTCCACACCCCATGCTTCTCAGCTTCAGTCACAGCAACGTGAAGTGCCTCTACCTTCCTGACATGCGCCATACTGTCACAGCCCAAGGAGCTGTGACACTGTGGGGTCTGCCCCCCCCCCCCCCGAAATTCTCTTTAGTCTTTCTTCTGTGCCAGCTCTTGACCATCTTGTAAGACTCAGCTTGCAATTATCCCCAGAGCTTGGTTTGATCTGCAGGTCAGGACATGTATACTCTTTGTGTCCCTTGGTGCTCCTTTTGATACTTATTTGCCATTTACATGACTATCTTTCCCAGATCCAAAGCTGCTTCTGGGGAAGGGCCACGGCTCATACGTCTTTTACATTCCAGCACCTGCCACAGTTTCTAGCAGGATTTAATAATTATATATTAAATTAAATTAAGGAATTGTTTTCTTAATGCCTCCCCGCCTCCCCGCCCCCCCAACCCAAACTGACCTAGAGTGAACACCCTTCTGGACTGGGGCACTCAGTGGCCCAGCTGCTGGGCATGCTGTCTACTGATAGCTCACAGTTGAGTCTCTCCCTAAGCACTGCCTGCAGCCAAATGGAGCTGCTGTGCCCAAAGACACAAGCCTTCCTCAGGGTAGACACTAGTCAATGTCTGGTTGATAAAGGGGAGCGAAAGTCTGGGTTCCCTGCCTTTGAACAACCATCCTGACTTCAGAGTCTACAGAACCTTGCCTGAGGCTTCTGTCACAGCTATGTCACTGCCTACTCCCTCCCTCTGCCCAGTCTTGCCTCTGTGCTCCCTTACAAGGCCGTTCCTGAGGGCACCCTCAACAAATCCCCTGCACTCAACTCTCCATGCAGTTTGCTCCCAGGAAACCAGACTCATCACAGGCCTGTTATTTCCAACCAGGCCTTTGCCAGTTGACCTGTAAATCAGAATGTATTTTCCAGCTGTTTCTTTACTATCTGTTATGACTAGATATGGGTTGAGGGTGTCCCGCAAGGGCTCATTTTGAGTGCCAGTCCTTAGTATGGAAGTGTTGGGAGGCGGTGTGACCTTTAAGAGGTGGAAATCTAGAGGGAGGTTGTTGGGTCATTGTGGGGTCTGCCCTCAGAAGGAAGTCAGGTAGTTCTGTGGGAGCCTGAGTTAGTTCTTATGAGAGTGAATTGTTACAAAAGTGATCCTGACCCCTGAATCTCTCTCTGGCTTCCTGCCTTATGATATGACCTCTCCCTTCTGCACAGACTTCTGTCATAAGGCCCTCACCACAGCCAAGCTGATACTGGTGCCATGCCCTTGAGCTTCCAGAATTGTGAGCTAAATAAACCTGTTTTTGTAAAATAAAGTAGGCTGCCTCAGGTATTTTGTTACAGTAATAAATAACAAACTAATACACTATTTGACACTAGAACCAGGTCATCTTTCCTGAGGTGTTTTTATTGCTTTAATCAGTGGAGAAATAAATAGGACATAAAAAGATTTAAGTGCACAAAGGTGCTAGTAATGGCAAATCTTATTGTAGACAAAGAATTCTGCAAATAGCAGCTAACATTTTGGAGGAAAGTTCAGTCATTGACTAGCCTAGGTACTTCACTGCAGAAGCTGGGTGAGGTGAGATCAGGGGCAAGGAGCTAGTATGTGGTGGTGGTGGTGGGGAAATGCAGTGGCAACAGGGGCTTTTACCCCTTCAATCCTACTTTTTCTTCTATTCAGAAATGAAAATGTATGAAGACTCAGTTTAGAATAGGGGTTAGGGTGGGGTGGGAAAGCTTTTTAGAAGACGTGATATTTAATCTGGGGATAAAAGGAAGATCATTGCCTCTCTGTAAATGCAGACCCCTTCCCTGAGATGACCTGAAACAGGGGTGGGAATGGGCATCCCTGGCAACAAATTCTAGAAAGAAGGGAAGGAAATTCCAGGGAGTAACACAGGCTAGAGGAGTGACATTCCTGGGACCCTGGGTCACCTGGTTGTGGCAGCAGTTCAGTAATAACCATCCCTATTCCAGGGCTATGATTCAGGGGAACAAAAACAACAACAACAAAAAAAACAGGTCCATCAGTATTATCAAAATTAAAAAGTTCCTGGGTAATAACCAGTGCCTTCTTACCTTAATGCTGCTCCTTTTCCTGTGTTTTTTTCCTTTTTCCAGTTGAAACAGATAGCCTTCAGAATTGCTACGGGTAATTTTCATTTGGTTTCTTTGGCTTCTCTCTGGACTGAGTTGGGATTCACTTTCTACCCTTGATGAGATGGGGGGGAGCATGATGCTAGAAGAGGACCCTTTACTGGGCTGCACGTCGGTGGGCTGCACGTCGGTCAGCTGCACCAAGGCTTGCTGATGCTGCTCCATTATCTGAGTGAGCCGTGAATCTGGGGAAGCTCTGACAGGTTGGCTGTCCGAGGAAGGATGGAATTTCCTTTGGAAAAGAACACACATTTATGACTAAAACTTGAATACATAAGACCGCTAACAGTAAAGTTCTTATGAGCCATTAACTTGATGTATTTATCACTCCTCAACTCAAATGAATTAATTTGAGCTAATTCACTCATTAATGTATTAATTTCTTAAAATCTTCTTTTTCCATAGGATATTCTAACTCTGCTTAGAACTTTCACTTAGTGCATTCAGAATAGAAGTATATCATTTTTAGAAGTCGAAGAGTTTCCCACTACAAAAATACCAAGAAATGTTGGATTAAATGAAACCAATATCCTTTATGTACACAGTTGAATTTGTATGAGAGGCAGGAAATCTCCAGGGAGGAAAACCAAAATGAACTAAAGTCAGAGCAGATTCTGGATGAGCTGAAGGTATGGCTTTCTTTGTGAGCTGTTTGGGTTTAAGGGCGTCAGTTTTAATCCAAGATATGTGAGATTTGGGGCCAATGTGGACGTAAGTTCATCATCTAAAACCCTAGTACATAAAGGGAAATGATCTACCAAGTGTGAGGGTTAGCAGACATACACACACACACACAAATAGTAGTAATAGACTTCTGCAAGCTTTAGATAATAGAATATGTTAGATAGCATTCATAAAGTATGTATGAAATGATTGGAAACATGAAAGAAGAAATCAAAATTCTGAGAAATATATTTTTAAAAACTTATTTTGAACAAAGAACAGGGAGGTTTTACTTATAACCAAGTAGAAATTCCAGACATGAAAAATACCATTATTTAATTTTAAAATCCAACAGAAAAATTAAGAGGGCTGGGGATGTGGTTCAAGCAGTAGCGCGCTCACCTGGCGTGCGTGCAGCCCGGGTTCGATCCTCAGCACCACATACAAACAAAGATGTTGTGTCCGCCGAAAACTAAATAAATAAATATTAAAATTCTCTCATTCTCTCTCTCTCTCTCTCTCTCTCTCTCTCTCTCTCTCTCTCTCTCTCCCTCTCACTCTCTCTTTAAAAAAAAAAAGAAAAATTAAGAAAGCATATTGGACATAGTTGAAAAGGAAATTATTGCACTGGAAAACCTACCTGAGAAATTTCTCAGAAAGAAGCAGAGAGACAACAGGTAAAATAAGAAACAGAGTTAAAACACACAAAGCCTAGAATCAAAGAATTTAATATATATCTACTTGGTGTTCCTGGAAAAGGAAGTAGAGCCAATTTGGGAGATGCAATATTCATAGGAAAACAGGTGATCATTTTTTCAAAATTTATAAAAAGAGATGATCCTCAGATTTAGGAATCACAGAAGGTATTCAAGTAGAACTAAAAATTTCATTCCTATATACATCATAGTAAAACTTCTAAACACCAAAAACAAAGAAGAGGTTTAAAAGCTAACAAGAGAAATAAAGACAAAGTAAAAAACAAAAGGAATGATAATTACATTGACAAAAGACTTTTCAAGGCAACACAGAAACCAGTAGACAAAAAAATAGTGCTTTTAAAAAGTTGAATTCTTGGGGCTGGGGATGTTGCTCAAGCGGTAGCGCGCTCGCCTGGCATGCGTGCGGCCTGGGTTCGATCCTCAGCACCACATACAAACAAAGATGTTGTGTCCGCCGAAAACTAAAAAATAAATATTAAAATTCTCTCTCTCTCTCTCTTTAAAAAAACAAAAGTTGAATTCTTTACCAGGTTAAACTATAACTCAAGATTGTAAGAGAAAGGAATTTCAGGTAAATCCCAGTGACATACACTTGCTGAAACAACTTCTAAAGAAAACAGAATAAAATGAAAGAAAGAATGTGAGGCAAAGAAATTAATAAACAATTTGGTTAACTCTAAAACACCATTTACTCTCTACAATAATAAAAATAATGACTAATTTTTGAGATATAAAGTGCTAGACAAGTTGCTAGACTAAGCAGGAGATTGTACTTTTAATGTAATGACCCTGAACATGTCTAGAAAAGAGCAGAAATATTAATTTAACATGAGGCAAGTTAAATATGTAAGTTGTGTGTGTGTGTTAATAGAATAGAGTGCTGGGTACGGTGGTACATGCCTGTAATCCCAGTGACTCTGGAGGCCTAGGCAAGAGGATAGTGAGCTAGAGACCAGTCTGGGCAACCTAGTGAGATCCTGTCTTGAAATAAAAGAAAAAGGCTGGGGGGGGTGGAGGGGGATGTAGCTCAGTGGTAGAGCAACCCCCCCCCCCCCCCCGCGTTTCCATCCCCAGTAGCCACCCCCAATATTTACCCTCACCCGCCACAAGAGTATCTGCAAATAACAAAGATAATTCTCTAAGTTTAATAGAAGAAAAAAAGTAAAAAGAAGCATGGCGAGTGTAGGGTAATTAGAGTGGTCAAATTAAGGTGGTAGAAACAGATCCACCTGTATAAGTACCATGATAAATGTAAGCAGTTTAAAGTCACTAGATACAAGTGAGTTTATGATTGAATAAAGAAACAAATTACAACAACACACTGTTTTTTAAAAGAAAGGCTTAAGATAGAATCATACTGAAAATTTTAAATATGATAGAAAAAATGTACTAGATTCAATACTAATTATAAGAAAGTGAATGAAGCTATATTAATATCAGCCAACATAAACTTTAATCAAATAGCATTATTGGAAATAAAAATATTCATTACATCATGATTAAAAGAAGAATTTGCCAGGAAAATATACAATTATTAACCTGCATGTACCTGATCATAAAACTTCAAAATACATAAAATGAAACTAATAGAATTATGAGGTGACATTAACAATTCTTTTTTTTTTTAAGCACTGGGGATTGAACCCTAAAGCTCTCACACATTCTAAGTAAGCACTCTACTATTGAGCTGTGTCTCCAGTCCTTTTGTTGTTGTTAGGGACAGGGGCTCTTTAAGTTGCCCAGACTTGTGTTCCTCCTGAAAGGAACCTCCCAAGTTGTTGGGATCATAGGCATGTGCCACCACAGCCAAATACAGGGAAATGTCAATTTACCAGGGTCAGAAACTAATATATCAAACATGGAAACCTAATCAGGCTTCAGAAGATTTTAATAACATATGTAACAAGCTTTCCCTAATTTAAATTACAGTCATGTGCAGCATAACAAGGTATTGATCAACAACAAACTACATGTAAAGAGGTAGTCCCAGAAGATTATTTCACCTAGTGACAGCATAGCCATTTTATGTGTCAGGACACTTCAATGTCTGTGAAAAGATAGAATAAAAAGATTTCTCAGAACATATCCCCACTGTTAAGTGGTAAATGAATGTATACAGAACGATGTGCCATAGAACTGCAGAAATATCTTCTTTTCAAACACTTTTGCTGAAAATACTCTTCACTTGGGCCTATAGATGTTGCATGGATGAGTGGAATCTGATGAAATGGCTTGGCATCTCTGTCTTTGTATTGTGTTTGTCCCCTTTGCTATCTTAACCCTTTGGTCAGATTCTACTCACCTCTGCATGCAAACATTGCTCACTGGAGCTGGTATGACTTTTCTTCTGCCCCACCCTTTCACCAGCTGCAGCATCCAAAGGACCTAAAGTCCTTCAACCTGTCATAAGGCCAAGACTGAACCACAGTACCAGGATGTTTGCACAGAGGATGATGACACCAGCTGCAAGAATAACTCAGAAGTTCCTGGGACAAGTTGACCGTTACCATGTGGTCCAAATCTCATGCAAAGAGAAACTATGTCCCTGGCTAGTGGAAAATTACTGGTCTTTGGCCCACCCCAGAAAATCAATAAGAAGCTTTCATCTCCCTTTCTTCATAGAGCAGCTTGGTTCCCTGTCTATCAGTGCTGTTTCCTTTCAGGTGAAGCCACATTAAAAAACTCTACTTGTGTGTGTTTGCAATATTCAGCTTGGTCTCTTCTCTACTGTTTCTATGCCAAAAGATCCTTCCTCCAGTAACAAGAGCATAGGAAGGCTGGAAGCAATAATTGAGGAACTTTCACAGAAAGTAGGGCAAAATAAATAAGAAATGAACAAGAGAGTAAAGAATATCGTATGAACAGTCCTGGAAAAACACCTGTGAATAACAGGAAAGAAGAGAGCTGGAAGGAGTGACCCACGAGAGGATTCAAGACATTTCCCAGACTGAAAAGACACATGTATCCAGGCTAAAAGGCCCAGAACAATCTATGAAAATAGACCTAAACCAAGGCATGTTATTATGAATTCTCATTTTATGGAGAAAGAGAGAAGATCCTACAGCTTCCAAAGAAAAAATAGACAGGTCATATATAACAACGCCGGAAGAAAGAAGACGATTGTAAGGAGGAAATGATTTTCAATCTAGAATTCTACAACACCCTGCCAGCTATTAGGAGCAAGGGCAGAACATAGTCAATATCAATCATACCTCCTAAGAAGTAGAGGATGTTCTCTACCAGAATGAGAAAGGAAGCTAAGAAAGGGAAAGAGAGTAGATGGAGAAAATAGGAGGGTCAAGAATGGAGAAAAATGAAGGGCATCCCCATGATGAAGTGAAGGGAGGTTCTGCAAGGACAACACGGGCAGAGGATGGCCATGGGGAAAGGAAGTGCCGCGCAGGACACTGGCATGCTGAGAACTGCTTGTCACCCTATTGTCTGCATCACACCATGTTTCTAATAGGAAGAAAATATCAGAGGATGTACTCAAACAAAACGAGGAAAATCTGCAATCTTGAAAAAGGGATTCTGACCAGAAGGAAAGTCAAAGGGAATTCTTCAGTTTTGTAGCAAGTCTAGCAAGATGAAGAATTTAAAGGTGTCTTATAAAAGGCTATGTCCAAGATAGAATAAAGAATCTAATGTATTTGCATCTGTGAACATTTGTATTGAGAGACTAGGAAAGTGTGGGAACAATGAGCCACATGTACAAATCAAAGTAAGCCAAAGCAAACAAACAAGTCAAGGCAATTATGAACTTTTGGAAAAAAATTTTAAAATGAGGCATAGTCATAGACCAACACCAGATCATGCATTATAGATGCATTGGCATAATAACAAAACCACTGAATATTGATCTAACCAAAAATTGCAATGTAACTCCCATTACTGCAGAATGGTTGAAGAGAAGCACATAATGAAGGTGATGTCAGGAAGCTCAGTCCTTATCTATCAGAATAGAAATCAATAAAATCACTCAAAATAGCTGAAATTGAAGTAGAAAAATATAACGATAAATAAATATAACTGAGAATAGTGGCAAATACTAGAGGAAACAATAAAAGTCAAAAGGGGTTACTAATATTGAGGATTTTCATTATTATACCAATATAAATATTATTCATAGCCAAACACTGTGGAGGGGATCACTGGGGAGCGAAAGCAGTGGATTGCCAAGTGACTAAGTGCCACCTGACTTTTTAGTATATGTGCATGCACCATCTTGGTTGAAAAGTTAATGTAAAAAACAGGGCTGGGGATGTGGCTCAAGTAGTAGCGCGCTCGCCTGGCATGTGTGGGGCGCTGGGTTTGATCCTCAGCACCACATAAAAATAAAATAAAGATGTTGGGTCCACCGAAAACTAAAAAATAAATATTAAAAAAAACAAGAAATAAAAAGACATGATTAAAGATTTAAGAGGTTGAATAATATGAAAGTATATTTTTTATTTGACTGGTTTTTAATTTTTAAATGCCTTAAAATGTATTCTGACGTAATGTTTAAATTTAAAAGTTAATGAAGTAAAACAATACCCCCCTCTCCTGCCCTTGGGTGTGTTGAAGATGCACCAATATTCTCCTTTGTCTCCTGAGGACTATGTTCCACTTCCTTTCCATACTCAACTGCAGGACAATTCAGTAAGGCACCCAAGCTCTGTTGCTGAACTCACACACTGTGCTTCACTGTACGTAGACATACATTTCAAAAGGGCTAAAAATAAAAATAGGGAGAAAACCACCTTTCATAGTTGGCAGAAGAGGATAGGCCTGATGAATTTCCAGGGGTACTTGGTCTTACACAGGAGCTACGAGAAGTACAGTTGAGCCCACAAGTGCAGTATTGCACCATGAGATCTAGTAGAGCTCAAAACAGCCCAAGCATGCCCCAAGTCACCACACACTGAGGATATGACAGGACATTTTAAACTTCGTAAAAGTAGATTTTTTTTTTAGAAAGTATATTTATCAGATGATCAAAGAAGAAACGAAAAGCTTGTAAAGACTTTTAGTCATTCTAGTAAATGAATCAGGAGTCTAAAATCTGCCCACAGCCAACAATCACAAAAACAAAACCAAATAAAAAAACACCCATGTTCCCAGTAGTTGTACAGGAAAGTTCTATCAAACCTTCAAGTAACAGACCATCCCAACTGCATATAAGTGTATGTATAACTCAGACGTATAAAGAGGGCATAGTTCTTAACTCATTTCATAAGGCTGGCATAACCTTCATAACACAGCAAGGCTCATGGCAGATAGGAAAATTATAGCCAATCTTACTTCATGCAGTGAATGTTAAATCCCAAACAAAGTGCTAGCAAATCTAATCAAGCAACTTATTAAAAGTACATTATGTCAAGTTAACCTCAGAAACAAAAGGATAGTGTAACATTAGAAAATCTGTTAATACATTTCATTACATTAAAGGATTAATGGAGAATATTTTTCAACTGATACATACTACTTATGATAAAAATTCTTTGCAAAGAAAATCAAGAATGGAATAGAAAGGAGTTTTCTAGTTTCCTATTTACCACAACCTAAATATTATTTTTCACACAAAAAATGTCAGAAGCAATCCTTCTGAAGCTGTCTCTTCCAGAAAGCTAACTTGGATTGGAACCTTATTAAACATACATTTCATGTTATCAAGTGTAGCACTTAAATGTCCTCTGATTAATTCAGATATATAAAATTGTCCCCCTATTTTGAAAGTAAGCTCCTTGAGGGTGCCTCATGCATAAAACTTCTTTTGTACTTTCTACAGCATTTTAGCTTTATATTCAGTCCATGTCAGGTATACAGAAAACATGTTTGATTAAAGAATATCAAGAAAGGGCTCCTAGAGTGACTTAAAAAATAACTTTCTTTTTCCTGTCTATAGAAGTAATTCATCTACATTGTAGGGTACTTGTACAATTTCACAAAATATAAAGGAGAAATTAAAACAACCTCAATCTTTCTTGCCAGAGATGACCACTATTGACATTTTGGAACATTTTTCTTCTGTGAACATTTTAACCCAATAGAGCTTATACTCCTCCTTAGGCATAATTTTATACCTTATTAATTTCTTTTTATAGGAACATTGCCTCTTAACCAAAATTTTAAATTATGATATTAAATACCAAGTTTACCTAAACATTTCCCCACTATTGTACTTTTAGGTTGTTTTCTATAAACGGTGGTATTTTTGTGCATACCTTTTCTGTTTTATTTTATTTATTTATTTATTTTTTAGTTTTTGGCTGACACAACATCTTTATTTGTATGTGGTGCTGAGGATCGAACCTGGGCCGCACGCATGCCAGGTGAGCGCGCTACCGCTTGAGCCACATCCCCAGCCCCCTTTTCTGTTTTAGATTTCTTTCTTAGGAAAGGCCATTAGAGTTCTGGAGATAATTTGGTTTTCTCCAAATATTATTTATATCCTTTAAAACATACTGATTTGTTTCGACTGAGTCCCTGTGTCCTTTTCCCCTCCTTCCAAATTCTAGTTTAAGTAGAGTGAAAAAAGTAGAGGAGATAAGGAAGAGGAAAAGAAATATATCAAAAGTGGACAGCACTGGGCAGGAATCAGTGTCAGGGAAGCTGTTATGTGAATTTTCCCTTCTCACCTGACTATTCCCAGGGACTCCCCCATCCATCTCCCTCTCCCTCTCCTGTCTTTCTCCAGAAGCCTCTTATATCTCCTCTAGGAAACCACTCAAGAATAGAGAATTCTTACCATAACATTTCTAGGTTCTTATATTTTGTCTCTGTAAAAGGCTGTTTTGGTTGCTTCCTCTTTTCAGTCGATCTTTGAACATTCATGTCATAAACAGACTGAGACTCTTTCTGGCTCAGGAACACTTGCCTCTTAGAAAGTTCGTTAAGGTTGTTCAAATCTGAATTAGAAAGAGCGTAGATGGGTAGCTGCTGATATGGAAATCTTCTCTCCTCTTCATCTCTGCATTGTCCCCTTTCTTTATTGATATTCAGCATTGAGTGATATCCAGTAGAGTTTTTATATAATACCCTTTCAAAAGCCTGCTTTGGTGGAGCAAATATGTTGGAGGTCACTTTGGGATCCTGGCTCCTAAATGCTCTTGAGTCTTGTAAATCATTGTTAGAGGCGTTTGTGAGCACAGTTGATCCATGCTTTACTGAAGCATCTATAGGCTGATTTTGGTTTTGTTGCTGTCTTGGAATGTCATTCTGGTTTCCTTGACTGACAATGAGTTCTTTGGTCATGAAAGACTTGAGGCCAATCTGGAGTTTATGCTGTCTCCGAGCTTTGGGCTTGGCTGGTCTTTTGGATGGTTGCTGGCCGCTGGCGATTTCAGAGGATTGACTTCTTGGTACATTGCTTGATTTTGTACCTTCATATTGAGACCAGTGCTCCTGGTAAATCTAAAAAGATGTTGTCAATTAATGTAAAATTATAAGATTGGTACTCTTTACACATTTTAAATTAGTGTTTTTAACTGGGAATTGAGACTTTGATTTATTTTTTTTGTACCAGGGATTGAACTCAGGGTTGCTTAACCACTGATCCACAATCCCAGACCTTTTTATTTTGAGACAGGGTCTTGCTAAGTTGCTTAGGGTCTTGCTAAGTTGCTGAAGCTGGCTTTGAAACTGTTATCCTCCTGCCTCAGCCTCCTGAGCTGCTGGAATTACAGGTGTACGCCACCATGCCCAATAGGAATTGAGACTTCTGAGAAGGTGACCATGAAATTGAAAACAGATAAAAGAGTACAGAGGGTCCTTTCCTAACTTCAGGCAACTAGAGGTAAACCGGAGTGATTCTTTCAGGAAAAAAAATTAGATTATGAGCCTAGAAAGAGATCAAGAACTTGAATGGGCTTTGTATTAATGACAAATCTTTGACTTAAAAGCCATAAAGGGAAGTGTTACCAAAATCAGGTGTGGGGTGGGAAGAAGCTTTATTGCTAAAGAGTTGTGCAGGAAAAGAGTAGAAATCTACATCAAAATAGGCAAGCTTATTTTAACTAAATGAATATTTCAGAAATCCTAACTGGAAAAACATCAGTGATATGTTTTATTAACCAAATTCAAGTTTAATGCGAAACACTGGATTATCAGCTTTTCTTTCTCATACAGGTCAGAAGCTAGAAATGACCTCTTCACCAGATGAAACAAATTAGATTTTATTCAGAAGATTATAAAAGAGTCTGAGCTGTGATAGGGCATCTGTGAAACCACAAGGGTTGTTTTGCTTCTGTTCCTTAATATAGCCTGTACTTAGGCAATCAAACATCTGGGGGGAAAGATTTCAATTTCAGAATAGTCTTTATGCTTTTCAAAGCCTGGTAACAACAAAATGTACTCCCAGTATAATAGATACACTATGCAACTATACTGTGCTACATCCATTTAGGAATATTTCCCAAGGAATAGAGCACTCATTACTTTGTGAAAAATTGGCTGAGTTAAGAGGTCTTTGGAAGGAATGATTAAATGCTTACTGAAAACAATAAGATGACCATATGCATCAATGTGTCATACAATTGCAACTTATTTCTCCCTTTCTGAACACACATATTTAAAAAAACCTCTGTGTCCTATATCTACACAATATTAATTGAAAAATTAAATAATTAATTAGATCACTGGAGAAGAAAACATACTGAAGTGAGTAAAGCATGCTTTTTGTTCAAACCGTTTCAGTTTACTACAGAAGAATAATAACATTATTGTGCTAAGGGTTCTTTTCTTATTTCACCTTTCTGATACAGCCCCTAAGACTCATCCTGTTCCTTTATAATATTAAGTAGTGTTTCATTTCTAATGAAATCACAGTATAATGATAAGCTTAAGATAAATTTAAAACAGTAATATGTACTATGGTTATATTGATTTTTAAGTAAGAATGACTTCTAATTGAAAATTTAGAATATTCTCTTTGGAATTTGAGCTTTCTGGGGGAATTGGTTATATGCTGATTAGTTACTATAAGCTTTTAATTTTTTACCCATGGTGTTCCATAAAAAGAAAAAAACTTACTCCTATGTTTGGGTAAGTAAGGGTTCTTTCTTCCATGAAGCATATTGAGCTGCATGGGGAAATATGGGCCAAAAGGCTCTGAATACAAAACCCAAGAGCGTCCTTCCTTGCCCTGGCTCCAGAAGAAAACTGCTGTTTTACAATCTTATGGGGGTATTTGTGAAATACACTGCTCTTTTCATTGCTGTCATTGCAGTTTATGAAGGTCAGGACAGCCCTCACTCTGCTATGATCTCTAAATACTAATTGATGTTGATAATGTCATTCTTTTCAATGTTTGTTCAGCCTTTAGCTCACTAGAGAAATAAGTGACTAGGAACTCTTTTTCTGTTACCATCTGACTGTAAATCTCCCAGTCTTCCCTCCCCATCCCCACCAAGGAAAAAAACCTATCAGAAATTTTCATTTCTGGGCTACCAGGTCCCGAATCCTAGGGCTGTCACTCGACTTTGACTTTAATCATGTCGTTACCTTTGCTGCTAATGACTTGGATCACAATCACAGTCTTCACAGGGTGCTTTGTCAACAAGGCCAAGGACTCCTCATTTTATGAAACTTCAGTTGTCTCAAGTGTTAAATCCTCTGTTCAAGTAAATATAAGTGCTCAGAGATGGTATTTCAGTCTCCAGAAAGGAAGACATTTATGGGCTTGATATGATTTCTCTCACCTTGCAAGCAGCCTACTTGAGATCTGCAGTTTACTCAAGATTTATTACCTTACAATTGAGGCATCAGGTGTCACTCTTTAGGTGGCAGGACCTGAGCTCCCTGACGTTAATACACAAAGCCATTCTCAGGCTATTTAATCTCCATCAGCACTGAGATCCCCTATTTCATCCTACTCTCACTGGGGTTCTTTTGTTACCAACATTTGCAATCGGTACATCCTATATGCACTCAGAATAACTGCTTAATGGCAGTGGGTTTTCACAGCACACACAGAGGGTTAGCACTGGGAAATTTTGATGCCTAATGCTGGGAGGATAATTTCTTGGTAAGACCCATCCTTAGTCATTAGTGTTTGTTCATACTGCACCATCTGAGGGAAGTTTGCCCCCAATCCTGTGAAAGCCATGTCCGTCCAAAGTAGAAAGGAGAATGTATGCTCTTATCCTGACCAGAAAGTCTATCTGCTTTAACACAAAAGCCACTCCAGCTCTGGGTCACCTTGTCTCAGCCCTAGAGTCCTGAGAGTTGTACCTGAGCTCCTAGATCAGCTCGGGGGTACAGAAACTCCCATAGTCTTCTGTTTTTCTGCTGTGTTCATTAACAATAAGACTCAAATCCCTGAAGCTTGAGTTAAAAATTCCTTCTGATAATATTAAGAAAATTATGAGCACAGATATTAATTGGCTCTAATTTTCATTGTCAGTAAGAAAGAACTCTGTTCAGATGCATGGAAGAAGCATAGAACTATTTTTTCCATTTGCTCATTATAATTTAATACAAATTGTTACTTTAACCAATTCCCCAAGAATACTGTTATTTCCTCTTATTCTATCTCACTTTTTGTCTTATTTTTGTAGTGCATGTTAACAGTTCATATATTTTAAATCTCCATGGTTTTGCTTCTATTGGTTTGCAACACAATCTTTTGTTTTATTTATCAATATACTTATGCTTCCTGCTCTTTATTCCTCCTATATTAGTGTTTCCATCTCACATTGTTTTTCTTCTGTCTGAAGAATGATCTGCCATTTTTTCAGTGCAGCTCTGTTAACATGTCCCTTTTAGTTTGTTCTATTCCAACTCTCTTCTCATCTAAAGATTCCAATTTGATTGTTCTTTACTTTTTTTCCCTCCTATAATTAGGATGCGATTAAACTAGGACCTCATGCATGCTAGGCAAGGGCTCTACCACTGAACTGTATCCACAGACCTTTTAAATTTTATTTTGAGACACGTTCGAAATTGTCCGGGCTGGCCTCAAACTTTCAATCCTTCTGCCTCAGCCTCATGAGTTACTGGAATTATAGGTGTTTGCCACCCTACCCAGGTCCCCTGACAAAGATCTGTTGGAAGTGCTGGAGGCAAAACTGAAATCACAGCTCTTTGAATGGTCCTACAGGCTTTTTTTTCCCCCCCCGGTACTGGGGATTTAACTCAGGGGTGCTTCACCACTGAGCCACGCGTACCCAGATCTTTCTATTTTTTATTTTAAGACAGGGTCTTTGCTAAGTTGCTTAGGGCCTCACTAAATTGCTTAGTCTGGCTTTGAACTTGAGATGCTCCTGCCTCAGCCTCCTGTGCTGCTGGGATTACAGGCATGCGCCACTGCGCCTAGCCTTTCATACTTTTTTTTTTTAACCTTTTCCTTATTTGCAGCTGAGTTATTTTAGAGTGGCAAGAAATAAAATATCCTATTTCAGCCTTGTGAATGCTTTACCTAGTTGGGAAACTTTCTGTTCTTTCTCCTGACAACATATTCATCACCCGATATTATGGTTTGGATGTCTGTGTCTTCCCCAAAATTCATGTTAAATCTTAACTGCCAAAGTGACGGCATTAAAAATGGGGCCTTTTGGAAGGTGACTGTGTTTTGAGGGCAGTGCCTTCCTGATGGGATCAGAGCCCTGTGAAAGAGGCCCAAGGGAGTTCTTTCAACCTTTTCTGCCACATGTGAACACTGCAAAAAGGGACCCATAGATGAACCAGGAAGCCCTTACCAGATGAACCTGATGGCTCTTGACCTTGGACTTTCCAGCCTCCCAAACTGCAAGAAATAAATTTCTGTTGTTTATAAGATGCAGTTTATGCTTTTTAAATAGTAGACCAAACTAAGACAGCTGGGAAGGATCTTCTGCCAGTGGGAGAGTGCTTCCTTTTATTACCTGGCATGGGTCATGAGCTAAGTGCCACGTTCAGTCTGGGCACACCACTGAAACGCGGCTTGCAAATCCCATGACGACTCACAGGAGAAACTGGGTGCAGTGGCACATGCCTGTAATCCCAGCCTCAGGGAGGCTGAGGCAGGAGGATTGCAAGTTTTAGGTCGGCTTTGGTGACTGAGTGAGACCCTTCCTCAAAAAAAATAAAACTGGGCTGGGGATGTACAGCACATGGTTAGAGTACTGAAAAAAAAAAAAAAAGAAAGAAAGAAAGAAAGAAAGGATTCCCAGGAAAGCACAGAATGATTCTGGACAATAAGACCTATGTGGAAGAGTGAAATGATAAGGGATTACTTGGCTTGAAGTAAAGATTTCAGGCATGTACAAGAATCTCACATAAAAAATGATGATTGTTCTTTTGCAATATTTGCAGATAAATTTTGGTGCCCTATGCTGCCTCCTTCTGGGACAGCCCAGATGCTGTCATTTCTGGGGAGACTCCTCAGTCCTCTTAGGGCAAAATTAGGTGCTCTTTTAGTTTCACTGCATTTTTGT